AGGCCGTGTCCCCGCAGCCGCATTAGCACTTACCTCACTGTACTCCAATTACTTATTTAGCTGCCCGGCTCCTGCGGGGGGAATGGTGTCTTATTCCTCTATGTAACCAACCCCAGCCCACACACCCCCAGCACATCCCAGGCCCCTAATGACCGTTTTGGGAATGACTCCAACTCCCTCATTTTACTGATGAAGAAAGTGGATGCAGCCAGAGAAGCCTGAGGAGCTAGCAGCCAGCTCACAATTAAAACCCCCTCCTTCCAACTCCAGGGGCAAACTAAGGCAGAACTCTGCCTTCAGACAACCAGAGTAATCTGCGTGGCGAGGGCCCAGTGCATTTACTGAGCACCTACTACACGCTAGGCGCTGCAGAGACCTGGACACTGAGGCTTGTTGGGGAAATGAGATAAGGAGGTGTGAGGAAGGCATATCTGTAGCAGATCCCAGGGGGAAAGCCAGCTGAGACAGGGCCTTTACTGCCCTTTGGCCCTTGGTGTCCCAGTGTTTTGTACAAACAATGAGACAGAAAATACACTCTCTCATGCAGAAAGGAAAAGGGAGTTTACCCCTTATTGATTCACTGCTACTACAAAATGGAAATGCAGTGCCTCTGTAAATTAGGCCCTTTGAGTGCCCGGTGGGAGAAGTCCAAAGAGAGGAGGAGAAAGATAATTTGTGCGGGAGTAGAGTTAGGAGCCAGGTTCCTGCCCAGCTCAGGGTCTTAGACCTGTACGGCGAGAATAGGAACCATGGACCCAACCCCCACGATCATGTGCACCATCAAATGTCCAAGAAGGAAAAGACCCAGGGTGGCTAGAGACCCCAAAGGTGAGCAAGCAAGGCAGGTGGACACCAAAAAGGCAGAAGTCAGGTGGAAACCAGGGAGGGGTTGGGTTCTAGCGCTCTTGCAGAACAAAATGCATTTCAAAGCTCAACTCAAGTGCCACACCAGCAGGCACTGCCCTAGTCTAAGGACCTGTGTGTCCCTTTCCTCCTAGACGGGAGGCCCCACCTCCTCACCACCAACTAGACTCAACTCCTTCTCAGGGTCTTTTCACCCTGCTGCCTGGTGGCTTCACCATGACGACAGATCCTTAAGCTGTCTGGAGGTCTTGCAGCCTGAACCCCGTATTATTACTTAGGTGACAAGCCTCAGAGAGGAGATTTCCCGTATCATACTTCAGCCTTGGGTTTATGGCCACCGCGTGGCTAGGATAAAAAGTTCACAGGTTTTACCACCCCTCCCTGGGCTGCGAACGTTCCCTCTGGGATTGCTAGGCAGGCATTCTGTGTTATTACTACACACATCAAAAATCATTAGTTGTGTAAATAGCTGGCAATTTAGAAGAGGACTGTGGACAGAGGGTTCAGCTGATACGGTTATACAACCCGAATGGGGTACTTTGGACTTTGGTGGAGCCCAGTTTGTGGCCTTAGCCTCTTCAGATAATATCGCAGAGAAGCAATAGTCATTAAAGACACAGGGTGCTGGCAGTTGCTAAAGGAGCCCTCTTCGTTTCTCCTGCTTTGCTAAAAACGTCTGGGGCTGGGAGGGAAGCCTGCGTGAGCCTGGTTGGGAGAGGGGAAGCCAGCTCCTCATTCTGGGCCTCAGTGTCCTCTTCAGGAACTTGAAACATGTGGATGAGAAGCCACAGGGCTTTCGGTTCCAGGACTCCAAAAGAAACTGTAAGGCGGGGTTGTTTGTCTCAGGAAAAAGGTGACCGTCTAGTGTGGGCATGATGCTATTTGCAAATCAAAATGCCTCACATCCAGTTTCCAAGCAGCCACGTTCACCAACAGAAGGCGAAGGGCCAGTGTGACCCACCTTCTCATAGTTATCGGTGCCTCAGACCACGGCAGGTAAGTGTGTGCTCAGGTCCCCAGCCTGTAAACCGGCTTTGCAGTTGCGGTAGGCATTCAAAGATACTCTGAAGAGCTGGTCAGCCACCATCCCCTCCCTGGCCTCTCTGAATCACCCCTGACTTTCTGCCTGGAAGCAGGAGCTTGGAGGAGGAGGTGGGTGACCCCTTGAAGTCCTGGGCCAGGCCTGTGATTCTGTAATCTTTGCTTTGCCATAATTAGGGAGCGAGGCAGAAGAGTGGGAGGAGAAACCATTTATTACTTTTCTGCTATTTGACAGCTTGCAAGAGAGCTGGAGGGTAGGGGGAAAAAAACAGCCACGGAAGGAGTCAACCACAGTGAGCTGAACCTCTCATGAAAATCAAAAGGGCTGGATCTACCTTTACCGGTTGCCCTCTGTCAATTCTCGGGCCCATCTGGCAAACTTGAGGTTCCCAACTAACTGCCATTTCCCAGAAAGGCAGCAAAGAAGTGCTTTAAAAAAAAAAAAAAATGGTGGTGGAGGAGAAAGTGTGTGTGTGTGTGTGTGTGTGTGTGTGTGTGCAGGCTGAGCCCCACCACACTTCCCAAGGTGCTAGCTGTGTAGATCATCCATTATATAAAAGTACAGACAGTCCCCACCCCCACCCCGAGCTCAAAGATGAAGAATCCAGCCTGTTTGTTCCAGGCCGATGTAATCACACGAATAGTCAAGTCTAGAGGGCAGGACACTGCATGAATAATTCAAGCACTCCAAGTCACTTGATTGTGTGTGCAGATAAAACACCAGTCAACCGCTAAACAGGTCAGCTGATAAACTTGTTTGCTCAGGCCTAACCACCATCCGCCAAATACACCCAAGACCCACGCTGCAATTAGTGGCAGGGCTTTCTGCAGAACCCTCACAAACCAAACGGAGGGAGTGGCCGGCGCCATTAGGTCAGGGTTGCATTTCTCAGCAAGGTTTCTTCACCCTCCTGCCTCTTTGTCCTACACAGCCATAGGGTGATTTCACCCAGCTCAGACTGCCAGGGCTTGGGGTGGGTCTACATCCAGGGCAGACGCATTCAAGGCAAATGCAAAATGTGCAACCAGCCGTGCTGGGAAAGGGCAGGGGTTCTGATTTGAGCCCTCCGCCTGCCTTCTTGGTCTCCCTGAAGCCTCAGTTTCCCCACCTAGAAAAAGAGGGCAAAAAATCCCACTGGCACTGGCAGCTGAGGGGATTAGAAGAGAAGATGAAACCACAAACCTCAGGCACCCCCCCACCCCCGCCGCCCAAGAATCCTGTTTGGGGAATGGCCAGAAATCCCAGATGCACACAGCTGCTCTTCCACCAAATGCACTGCGATGTTTAACTCTTGTGGGTTCAGAGCATCCCTGGCCTCAAAAGTATTGCTCTGCTCGGCCAGCCAAGGTGGCTTCTTTCTGCCAAAAGCATCCACTCACGGCTCAGGGGACACCACCCATGCAGACCTCAACATGCAGCGACATATTACACCTTAATTACAAAGCTCTTAGGATAACTGCTGCTATAAATTTTAAACCTGGGTACAATTACCCTCTTTAAACACACCCAAGACACTAAGCACGCACCTAGGAAAAGAAAAAAAAAAAAAAAAGAGGGGGTGGAGAAAGGGAGGAAGTGACACCTTGAATAATATGCAAAGGTTCTCAAAATACCCACAACCCCTGGTTCATTTATTTTATGCTTCCTTTCTGGACCAGTGAGACTGGGTCAGTTCTGCCTGGAGAGGGCCAGAATCTAACTCTGCTGTGTTCTCTGGAGGAAAACCTTTCTAACACAGAGTAACGTCTGTTTATTATTTCTGCAGACTGAGGAGTTTATATGTGGTAGTCTTCATGTGCCCTCCTAGGGAACTAATCCCTTAGGAAGCCACAGGCTAGATTCCCACACTGCTCGGTAAACTCAGGCCCTTCCCCGGCTGCCTTTCACCCAGTGCTGGAGTTCCCTCCAGGAGGGGGAAGAACCGCATTCAAAAGCCTCTATAGGAAGCCACTCAAGCGGGCAGGAATCAGCACGCTTTCCTGGGTCACCTGCCCTTCTCACCTGCCCTGGGTCCTGCCCCCTTTAAAGAGCAAAATTTAAACCTTGTAAACGACTGTTAATTTAGAGCAGAAAATCCATTCAAGTCACGGTCACCAAAGGCTAGAATGAGTCAACAGCCTTCTGAGATTTCAAGAACACCAATTGTTAAAAAGAACAACCAGCCTGCGCCATTTATACGTGCCAAGTCAACGCTAATCGAGGGCCAAGCCAAATTACAGGCAGCCTTTCCTTGGTACAAAACTACACAAACATGCCTCTCCCACAGCCCGGCCTAGCACTGGGGCTCGTTACTGATAGGCAGTGAGATAAAGAGTGTTTGTATTTGCTCGGTTTGAGGTATACTGTTATTAGAAAAGTGACAATACGAGGTAGTTTACATATCCATCAAACGACGGCACACTAGTTAAACTGGTTTGACTTCAGGATTTCAAAGCTGAGCTCAACCCCCAGCCATCTCAAAGGCCAGGCCTGGCTGCCTCTGGCAAACTGACTTCATCCCTCAGCCCCAGCTTCCTTCTCTGTAAAATGGGAACTTGGCTGCCTTCAATTATTAAGAGACAGATGAGAAACTGCCTCCTAAATGTAAGGCATTAAAGTTGCGTTTCACTCCTAAACCACCAGCGGCTTCATTTCCTTAAGTTTCAATAGCCGAGTCTGGCTTTTAAAAAGGCTCTTGAAGTTTAATCTTATCAAGGCAGAACATCACATTTTTGCTAGAAAAAAAAAAAAAAAAGAAAAAGAAAAAGAAAAAAGAGGGTAAAAAAAATCCTCCCACATTGCCTCTTGAGAATCTTACAGTAAAACACATAAAAGCAGCCAGCCACCTCTAGGTTCTGGGGAGTCTGTAAAGCAGCTTCTGGAGGTACAACTTTTCCTTTGGTCCTTTATTCTTTTTTACCAAGATCCAAGAACAGCACTCATTTCACAAGCTCAAATGCTAAAAGCTCAGTGTAGCCAAGAAATCAGCAAAGCCTCAGCACCTTACAAGTCAAGAATCAAACTTATTTTCAAACCAGAAGAGACAGAGAAGGGTGCCGTTTTAAGGCTTTTTTCACAACACTGAAACAGCTTTCATAACAAGAAAAGCTCTTACCTGCTTGTGCATTTCTATGTTCAAGCCGTAGGACATCTCATAGTACTAAAAGTGGAAAAAATTCCCATTAACAAGACAATCTACAAAATCTTTATTTTTCAACATCAACATGATACACACAGTAGTGAGAAGCGTCAGCCGGGTCCTCCCACCGGCACGGTCCCTGCCTTTTTCTCTGTTTATACAAGGTGCAGCCTCGACAGGGAATGCTGTGTACACTGGGCCCCCTCTTGTCCTCTGAGAGTTATCTAGCACGATGTGGAAGGCCTCTTATGTGGAAAGAGGCGCGCTTAAAGTGCCTCCCGGGCCCTCTGGGAAACAGAAAATGTAAACCGGCTGGAACAGACTCTGGCTAAAGCGGAGATAGTCTACCTAGGGTCCAAGGGCAGGAAAGATTCAGCCGGGGATCCCCGAGGAGGGAAGCAGAGGCAGAGAATTTCCAGAGGCTCTCCCACCCCTCTGAAAACCCAGAGGAAGGAGGGCTTTTCTGTCCCACTCTGGCTAGATCCCAGGGCTGCCAGGCAGAAAGTTTCCAAAGGCTCCCGGGAGGTCTCCCAGAGAGATCTTTATCCAACCCTGCCACGGGCTCGTCCAATCCTATCTTTCTAGCCAAGATAGGGCAAGCAGCCCTCTGGGAGGCCCTCAAAACACATTAACGGCGCTCAAAGCCAGGACAGAGGTCCCCGGTTGGAAATCTGCGTCGCTCTTTCTGCCCCTCCTCTTCCCAGGCCCCCTCCTCCAGTGGCCCAGGCCAAGGGAAGCTGGTGGGGCAGAGAGCACTCCCGGAGGGCCCTGTTACCCGCTCTCTGCCCCTGGCCCACGGGGTCCCCCGCGCCCGCCTCGGCGGATCCCAGGGAGCTCTGTGCGCCCTGCCTGCGCTCCCCTCCCGCGTCTCTCACCATCACGTAATGGCGCTGCATCTCCGTCTTCTCGTTTGCCAGCTTGTCGTACTCCACTTTGAGGCTGCGAGGGCAGGAGGAGCTGCTCAGGCCCGCGCCTGCAGAGCCTCCTCCGGGGGCCTTACCGAAGGGCCCCCGAGAACCACTTCCCGGACATCCTCGGGACACCCCATTATCTTCGGGGCACTGGGGGTTTGGGTCCCCGCCTTGGGGAGAGTGGTGCTCGAACAACTCGAAACTTTGCACGGCCCGGGAGGCCTGTTTGTTCCGGCAGCGGGGGGGCCGGCTCCGGTCGCCCGTTCGCGACCCCCGGAAGCCACAACAAACCCACGGGCGACCCGACCCCACCCGGAGGCGGCGCCGGGAGCTGCCGGCTGCGGGCAGGCAGGGGTTAAGGAGACGCGCTCGGAAGGGGAAACAAAAGGCGGAGGCCCCGCCGCCCCGGGGTCGGCAGCCCTCTGTCCCCGCGGGGGGTGGTGGCAAGAGCGGCTCCGGGCTGCCCCTCCCCGCCAGCCCCTGGGGTCGCCCCCACCGGCCTTACCTGTGATACTGAGCTTGCAGGAACTGGAATTCGTCTTTGATCCTGTCACAAGACTCAGCCACCGTGAATTTAAATCCCGGCTGGCCGGGTTGGTGGGGAGCCTGGAGCCGGCGAGGACGAGACGGAGGCGGGGAGGAGGCATCAGACGGGAATTCCGGCGACCCCGGCCCCTCCCCACCGTGCGCAGCCACCCTCCCCGCCCAGGCCATCCCAAGTTTCCCAGCTCGAGGATGGGGCGCGGGTGGGGGGGGCTCACCTCTTGCACCGAGGGGCCCCATTCCCAAGTAAGCGGGGGCGGGGAGACCCGCCGGGCGAGTTGGTTGACTTAGGAGAGGGGGCGGGGAGCGTGGACAGTTCCCCCAGGCCGCACGCACCCCCCCGCCGCGCCGCTGGGCTGAATCACCCTCACCTCTCCACGGCACCCCCCCAGCCCCGGCCCCTTTGTGTGCACACGCGCACACACACGCGCTCCCAAGCACACGCACACACACCAGAAAGGTAGCAACAAGCAAAATGGAGGTGCCAGATAAACTGCCTCGTTTACCCTGCCATGATAGATGCTTAAATAAACCGAGTTGCAATTACTCACCGGATGTCTGCCTTGCGGATACATGGCAGGGAGGGGTCGTGATTCGGAGAGCGTGGAGGAGCCGAGAGCCCGGGCCGGGGAGGTGCGGGGGAGGGGGGAGCCGAGCCCGAGCGGGGGGCGGCCGGGAAACCGAGAGCTCGCCCCCGGCCCCCCCACCCCGCTTTCGCAGCGGAATCCCAGAGTCGGGCGCCCGCCCCAAGCGGAGACAAAGAGCCGCGGAGCAGGCGGCAAAGTCGTCGGCGGGTACCGAGGCCGGGCGGCGGGAGCGGGCTTTGTGCGCCTAGGGCTCGGCGGGCTGCGGCCGGCCGCCTTCCCCCGGCTGTGTGCAGAGCGTCAGAGCCGGGGGCTTCGCGGACATCGTCGGGTCCGGCGCGGGGTCCCGAGGCCGGGGGCCCCTCCAGGGGCGAGCGCAGAGCCCCTGTGGATCTCTCAGTGCGTCGAGCTTAGTGGGGGGCGCGCCAGGGCAGCCCCAAGCATCCGGGGTTGGCGGGTCAGATCCCACAGGCAGCGGGGCCAGGGGCTCACGGCGAAGACAGGAAGGAAGCTGGCAAGAAGGTGGCGGTTTGGGGCCGCAGGAGCGCCGGTGGGTGCGGGTTGGGGCCCGGCGCGGGCGCTTCGACGCCCCCCCTCGGAGAGGAGCCTGCTGTTCCGTCTGCTACTGCCGCCGCCTCTGTAAGCCCTTCCCGGGGCCGGGAGGAACTCCGGGCTCAGTAGGTGCAAAGCAGCATCCTAACTCCAGCGGGCACGGGAAGCTTCAGGCAAGGGTCCTCGTTGCTCCTAGCTCGAGCGCTGTGTCCCTGGCGTGGAGCGATCGGAGCGCGCAGGCAGGAGAGCACTGGAGAGGAGACGCAGCCCGAGTCCGGAGAGCTCTGCGGCTTCCTTCCTTCCCTCCGCCCGGCTCTCCTCTCTGCGGCCCGACAAACCCCAACACACACACACACACACACACACACACACACACACACACACACAACACAGGCACACACACACCCAAAAAAGTGCCTCGGACCTGCGGATACCACACACAGACAGGCGAGGGGGACGAGCACGAGGTCTGAACTGCCGCGAGAGCAGTTCCAAATAGGGACTGAAAAGTAACAAAATAATGTGGCAGCTTCGCCCGGCGCTGGCCAATGGGAGCGCGGGACCCCCACGTGGGGCAGCAGAACTCGGCCTGCGATTGGGTGCCGCCGGGCGCGACGTCACAATGCCCTCTTGTGTCTAAAACTATGCATGAAAAGTAGCAATCAGGCCCTACCCGCTGGTGACTTTCGCATGGGAGTGAAAAACAGCGCTCCTCAGATCAGGAATTAACCGAAAGACATATAATAAATAGATATATATTATAGTCCTGGGCTGCTAGGGTTTTTTCCCCTCCTCTCTTTTTTTTCCCACGATCTACTTGCAAATAATTATTTGGCGGAAGGGGGAAAGAGAAGACAGAGGAATAACAACAAAAGAAAAAAAGACAAGCTATACAGTCCTCCAAACCTGTGGCTTATAGTAATGTATCAGTTTATTCTGCACTGGCAGCAAACGATTCCTCCCTCTAATCTCATTAGGTCTGCAAAGCAGCCCAATTAGATACTATAAAACAAACAGAATCACTTTGTCACTTTAATGTTTTCACTTCACAAGATTTAGGACCCATAAAATGGTGGCTCCCAAAGTTGCCTCTGACCTTTAAAATTTTGCTCGGAAATGAGGATGTCCCTTTTTCTTTTTTCCTTTTTTTTTTTTTTGGTCCCTTTCTTGCCCCCTCCCCTTTGAGCCCCCAGCTTCGCTTCTTTGTTCTTTCGCCCTTGTTTTCAGAAAGCCAAATAAACAGCGCCTCTGATGTGCGGCGGCTGCCTGCGAGAAGCCTGGGCCCCTCTGGCTAGGCGGGCAGCGGGCTCACCTCGCGGCTGGTTTCCCTAGAGGCTTCTTAGACCCCTGAGGACAGCTACGTCCCGGCCACAGCCTCGCCGGGCCGGAGTCCTACGGAGTGGATGGAGTCGGTACTGGGACCGGGGTCCTTCGGGTCGCAACCCGCGAGTTCCGAGTTCCTACCCGGTCTACTCAGCCTACTCGCGACAGTAGCCTGTGGCGTCTGTCGCCAGCCTCGACGCCCCGGGAGGTACGGAGGCTCCCCCGGCGGGCTCCCGCGCCAGTCGCGAACCCTTGCGCGGTCACGCAGACCACTCCACTTCGGGGCCACTTTCCCCGCACCCCGAAGGTCTGGCCGCCCAGAGCTCCGAGTCACATTAGGGGACGCGATCGGGCCAGCGGGCCTCCGCGAGGGCACCGCTGGGTGGCCCCCGGGTCCCTCCCCGGCCGCTCGGCGAGCGCGCGAGCCCCCGGATCTATATTTTCCCCTCATTAGGAGCCGGAGGTTCGCTTTTGCATCTTAATGAGCTGAGCGCGCGCGGCGCTCGGAGGCCGGTGCTGGGTGCTACACGTGAGCGCCCGCTCCGGCCGCCGGCCCCGAACCGCGCTCTTCTCTTCATTTATTTATTCTCCTAAATAAAAACATAAATCGTGCGCGGTGCGCACTGAAGTGGGGGGCAGGGAGAAGCCCGGGTCGACAGATGCGAGCATCTGGCCGCAGCATTCATTAGACACAAAATGGCTCCTCTTTAGAGCTTCCTTTTCCCCCTCCTCCTTCTCTTCCCTCCCCCTGACGTCACGGGTGGGCGCAGCCGCCTTCTACCTGCCCCGCCCCTTTCTCGCTGGGCCCCCACGTGGGGGACGTCAACCACGCCCCCTGAGCCACCCAAAGGGACCAATCACAGACAGTTAGAAGGATTCTCGACTTCTGATTGGTGGAGTTGCCAGGCGCTGTCAGTCGGTGGCCAGAGCTGTCAGTCAAAACCACGCGGGGTGGGGGAGCGCTGACAAATGCCGAGGCTTCTGAGCCTCCCGCTTGCAAATAGTGCTTGGAATGGCTGCTTAATTAGCTTTGAATGGCTTTTCCTTCCAGCTCAAACAATCTGTCACTACCATGTGGTATAAAGGAGCCATGCATAAAAAAGTAAGCAGAGGCTAAATATCAATTTGATTTTGTGTATCAAAGGAATATTTTATTTTTCTCCCTAGTAATGAAACGTATCAATTTAAATAATAAAAGGTAAAAACACACACACACAAACCCCCACACACACAAAAAAAAGAAAGAAGAAGAAAAGGAAAAGGAAAAGAAAACCCCAACGCCACAGTATTCCAACACTTACACACGCCTCCAATAGGTAATTTCTGCGGCCCACTTTCGGGAGGAAGCCTGAAACTCCCCACCCCCACTCCTTCAACTTGCATTTAGTGTTTTGTTGTCGTAGCGCTCTAGCAGACCGGGAGCGGTGGGGGAGGGGAGGCCTGCGGGGGAGGGGAGGTGGGGGCAGGGAGCAGGGCGAACTTTGAAGGGAGCTCTTTGAAGCTGCTAATCAAAGTGCAGGGGGTTTTAAGACCCCGTAAACTGGGGGTCCTACAGCAGGTCTCGATTTGGGAGCCTTGGGGGGAGAGAGCGGTGTGCGTGTTGCCCAGATTTATTAAATGGAATGCCTTCAAGATGCCCGGGGACGCGCGCCTCGTCCAGAGTCCCCCTCTCAGCCTCTCAGCCGACTCCCACGGCGCCCCCAGGTCGGGTCTGCGCGGGCTGTGCTCGATCTCAGGCTTGTGCTTTGCTACTGCCCCGACGGCAGTGCTCCAGGAGACCCCAGGAGCCAGAGCGCTCCAGCAAGAACAGCCCCGAGCGGGGGTCACTGGTGCCACCTCCCCTTACTCCCACGGGGGGGGGGGGCGGCTGCTGGCCCATTTTGCAGAGTAGAAAAGAGAGGCTGAGAAAGCGTAATCATTTGCTCCAAGCAGGGCACAGGGGCAGAATTGGAATCCTGGGCAGCCGCCTCCACAGCCAACCTCAGGATCTTCTTTGCTTGCGGCAAGCAGGGTCTGTGCGAGCGTTTGACTAAGAAAAAACATTCATCCCTACCCATTCCTTCATTTATTCACCCCTAGCTCTTTCTGAGGTTCTGGCTGCACCCCGCTTCCCAGGTTACCAAACCCGAGCAGGAAGGGAGCGAGGAGGTAATGAACCCCTTTAAACTCGCCGCCACTCTACCCCCGCCCCAGCTCCCAGCCACCCCACACATTAGGAAAAGCAAAGAGAAAAAAGTATATTTCTTTTACGTTCGAGAAAGAAAAGAAAATTAAACCCCCCCCAAAAAACCAAACATATGCAACACCCTGTCCAAAGCGCTTGACAATTATTTTAAAGAAGGAGGGGAGTGGTGGAGAGAGAGTTCAAACGTCTCTGTCTCCAGTTCTAATTGGAAACGTTTCAACTGTTTATGTTACAAGAAGTGTCAGGGACGTTTGCTACCGGAGAGCTGACTTTTCATTGGCGGCTTAATGGAGTACCTCGGAGTCCACCCCACGTGGGACAGGAATTCCTGGCACACACACACAAAAAAGTCATCCGGTGAGATTGAAAGCCCGGCCTGGATTCCCAGAGTGCAGGTTCCCCCAGCCCCTCATTTGGGGGTTCAAGATTATTGATGGGCAGCTTCTGCCAGCCCCAAGAGCCACTCCTCTGGTTCTTTAAAAATAAATGTCAAGCATTTTGGATAAATACGTTCCCACCCCTTTCTCGGGAATTAGAGGCCATCAGGCCGTGGTCTCCTGCCCTGCCTCCTCCGGCTTTGATCATTCATTTTTTTCATTCATTCATTTATGAGTCCTCTTTGGAACAGCCCAAGGGAGAGAGAAGTCTCCCTGACCACCTCTCCCTTTTGGTTGATTATACAGGGTTCCTCTGATTCTTGGGCTTTGCCTTAATTGCAGAAATAATCTGTTCCCTCTACCCCACCCTCCCAGGCCTTCAGGCTTCCTTCACAAGCCAGTACCTCACTATAAACAAGGGGAAGGGAACTTTGTATTTATTTAGCAAACTCTTAGGTAGCACTTACTCTGTCCCAGTTGCTGTTTCCTCTCCCCTTGACAAATACTAACATATTTAACCCTCACCCATAGAAAGAAGTGGGTGCCATTAGTATCATCCCATTTCACAGATGCACAAGAGACATGCAGTATGATAAGGACTTGTCCAAGGTCA